TGGAGGAAAGACTGGTGTGGGTGTAGGTGTGGGTGTGGGTGTGGGTGTGGGGTGTGACTGGGTGGGGTGTGGGTGTGGCTCCTCTCTTCATATACATCCAACCCCCCCACCCCCACCCACACCCACACCCTTCTCATCATAAATGATTTAGTAAGTTTCGTAGTTCTTTTCTTGATTTTAGAACGAGAGAAAAACGATATTGAAGCGGAAACGACCAAAGCAGAAGAGAAGAACGAATTATCGAAACCGAAAAAGGTATTTTATTTAATATCTACCCGATTCTCCTTTACTCAACTTTCATGACATACTTATGATGTTTCTTTTTCTCTTGTACAAGAACGAACCAGACACACTGAAAGAGTAATAGAGGAAAATAAAACATCAAAGCATGTTTTAAATAGTGAAGAGAGAAAAAGAATATAATACGAAAAGCATTAGCTCACCCAATATATATCATGGGTGAAGCCCATATGTTTAAACCAAATATGTCGATTAAGAGGCAATTGCATAAATTTACTAGAACGAAAAAGAAATTTAAAGGTTTCAAGAGAAAATAAAACTTCCGACATATGTATAGCAGCAAACAAATTGCTGTAGTATAAAATTGTATATTTCTCGTACGTTTTATAAAGTAAAAATTTTATTGTCCTACATAGCAAAAGTATGGAGATGATGTCTCTGCTAAAGAATTTTATTAATGATTGGTCTTCATTTAAGGGGCTTCTACCACAACGTATCTTTTCGATTTTCGCTAAATAGTCGAAAAGTATCAAATTTTTGCGTACAAGACACTAATTTAGAATGGAAATGCAATGTTTTTAACTTCAAAAATTGGCTCTGATCTCTTATGAACAAAATATCTGAATAAAGAAAAAAATCACGCATGAATACAGGCACAATATATTCGTTTCCTACATGAACGATTTCTCTAATGAGCATTTTGAAATTATTTCCATTTTCTATCGTTTCAGAGAATATGGTTTGCAACAAACTCGAATTCTCAAAAAGTTAAAAAACTCAATAAACAGTCTGTTTCGTTCAAGTCTCGTTCTGCCTAATAGTGTACAAGAAGATTTTTCTTATGATCTCAATCGAGAGATTTCTAACATTAATCAAACTTGAGTGAGAATGGAATTTTGAACGTATACACGTACATTTGAAAAAAAAATTTATAAGGTTATTATTGAAGCTCACTATAGCCCTTTGATTTTTGAACGATTTTGAAATGAATGATAGTCGAACGAATATGTTGCTTCAAAACTTCTTACATCGACCAAGGAATCAATAAATATTTCTTGACAATCTTAAGATCCGAAATATACAAACGTCAAACTATTCGTCCATTAAAAGCATGATTTTATTTCGAAAACTCTACTACATTCGATCCCTATCCGGTGCTGGTGTGAGTGTATGGTGTAAATGGATCCAATATACCAAACCACATCCACACCCTCACCCTCAATTCGTATGTATGAGAAAAAATTGCTTGCTAGTACTTTCATCAGCAGATAACATTTTCTCAGTATATTAACATTCCGTATCTATTTGTAATTACGAAAAAATGTAGTTTTTCTATGAATTTAGAATCATTGGTTTCATCAATATTCTCAAAGATTGTTCATTTAGATATTCATGAGTTAACAATTCAGATGTTCATTGTGTCTCAAAGAACATGCGAGATACTAAGACGTAAGCGAACGAGATTTTTCTTATCTTTTTACATGTTTTTTGTTACAGTATTCCTATGATAACAAAAAAACTCGTGTGTGGGTGTAGATGGATATGGAAATGACGAAGGGTTTGGGTGTGGGTGTGGGTGTGGGTGTGGATGTAAGTGTGGGGTGTGGGTGTGAATGTAAGTGTGGAGTGTGGGTGTGTAGTACAGCTAAAATATTACAACCAGAAGCACACTAGTACCAAACCCACACCCACCCCAAAACTGATGATATGTAATGTGTGGTCTCTGACTAAAAAAAAATGGAGAAAAGAGTGTTTCTCTAGTCAGTTTCTTGTAAAAGTAATGTGGGCCCCGTTGGGTCCTATCGCGTCAAATGTGATAAAGTAGAGTCTATGACTATTGTGTGTAAGACAGTTGTGTGCAATAAGATACATGTGTGTATAACGCATCATATGCAAATAAGTGTTTTTTTGTCAGAAAAAAAATGAACATCATTCCACGCAGAAAAAAGTACAATAAATAACAAAAATAAACCAAGATGCACAAATCAATAAATAATTAAAAAGAACGTATTAATTTTGGAAAATAGAAGGAACGTAACCTCTCTGTAGTCAAGGCACTGTTTTTATCGTTAATGATTTCAGTGAGAAAATGTAATAGTCTAATTTTATCAAATCTTTTCGACAAAACTGATATCATCAATAGCAAAATCATGTCCAGAAACTATTGGATCGATTGTATCAATAGACATAATGACATTTGTATTTGAACCTGAATTCCATGCTCCGTTTAATAATATCCATTTATGTGGTGAATATCTCAAAATTAATTGTTTTGAAATGACAACGCCATTTACTGATAATTGTACTGTAGCTGGCCATTCCACAGCAAAATCACGAAGCATAGAACAAAACCACGCAGAAAATTCATATTTTGTATTTGGTAAAACATTTGTTGCCCGTCTAACCATATAAACAGAGCCAGATGCTCCTGTTGGATCACAATAATAATAATGTCCTGATGAATTACGAACTGTATGATCTATAGATGGATCCAGAACATTTGGATTTAGATGATTATTTACTTGATTAATAGTACATCGTTCCATACAGTTAAAAATAGAATTCATATGAATATTTTCTAAATCCCCATTAGTCCAAAGATTAAGTTTCTGGCTATGACAAATAATGGATTGTAAAATAAATAAATACAAAAGAAAAATTCTGTAATTAGTCATTTTTTTTTATCTAAAATGTATATAGGTAATTTTCATAGCAGAAAAACATAGAATGTTTATCTTCGTAGTTTCATATACAGCAAGGGTTACCTAAATGCTAAAACTCAGAAGTAAGTCAGAAGGACGTCAGTTTTAATCAAATGTTTATTTTGAGAACAAGCACCAGCACCATGACAAACCCAAACCAAGAAACAGGACGAAGAGACAGATTAACAAATACGATGGGAAAATTATCTTTGAAAAACTTTTCATAGGATGCGAAAGACTCCAGCAAAACAGTTCCATAGTGTGATGGAAGATACCGGGAAGGGTTAAAAGTTGAAGTGACGGAAAAAGGCATTTTCTGTATACTCAATTTAAAACTCAAAAGTAATTGTATCATGTCGAAGGAAAAAACGAATAAAATATGGTAAAACCAACAGAATACAACTGTTAAAATGGAACTGCTGGTATTCCAGTTCTAGCTGAGATTTAGTAAACGGGTGCGGTAGAAGAAATTGCTGGATTTTGATAGGCTGTTTTCTCAAGTTAGACTGGATGAGAAAGTCTTGTTCTGATGTCAAAAGATAGAAAATTTTGTGTAGGCTTTATTGATATGTTGTTTACGAAGTGAACATTTGTCCTTCTGTTGTAGTTATAAAGATACCGGATATCACAAAAATATAATTTGCTCAGTATTTTACTGCAATAAAATGTCAGTTTTCTTTGCTAAAAGATTTTATATACACTATTCAAATGCAATATTATAAAGTACAAAAACATATGTGTTTTTGAAACCCAACACAAAATCTGCGTATCAAATTTTGTCGTCCGACAAACTGCTCGCAAAAAAATGCCTAATTGTCCATTTTTGTGCTTTTAAGTGTTAGACAAAAGACCTCAGTCTCATCATTAGTTTACAAAAGTAACTCAGCTGTTATAATGAAGGGTATTTTGTAGAGCTTGAAGTTCTACATCTGTTGATATAAAAGGAGAAATTTTTGTAAAATAAAATTTTGAGAAAGTTGGCAACAAAAAGCATGAAGGGTGTGGGTGGAGTGTGAGTACGGGATGGGTGTGGGTGTGGGTGTGGGTGTAGTTGCATGTTCGTGCAGATATTAGTCACACCCACACCCATCCACCCTCTCTCACCATACAAGGTAACATGATTTGAGAATAAAATAAATAGCAAATTCGGAATTAGTGGTAAAAACTGCATGAGTTCAGGTATCCTTTTCGAAAAAAAATTTCTACGACAAACTGACTGAAGGGAGCTCACACCCAAACTTAGAAAAAAACTTACTAAGGGAACCACAGATTGGTTCGAAGAAAACTCTTCGAAAATAGCAACGGGCGTCACATTCTGACCAAGGATTCATACGCTTTGTATCCAGTAAACTACCCCCGCAATCCGACCAAAGACAATTACAAAAAGGACTTGTCTCAATGTCCCGCCCTGTGGCATAGTTCAAGCTTTGGCAGGTCTATGCACAGTCACTGGAGCATCATCGTACCAAAAATTATAGCAGCAACAGTGTGCAGACAGCAAAAGATTTCATGACATTCTCGGTGGAATAGAACCTATAGAGCAACAGAAAACAAAAGGTAAACTTACAAGATTATGATGAAATGAGAAAATATCTGTGATATATATTAGTATGAAACAAATCGGAAGTGCATACGCGGTATTTTGATTCTCTTACGCATTAGAACAAGTCATGCGTCTTTAATCCAATTTTATGCCAGCTAATAGTTTTGTTTTTCAAAAATATCCTGCTTTATCACTTCTTTCACTGGAATAATCACGATTCATGCATATTTAAATGATTTTGTTATGACCCTACCAGATATCAAAATACGTTTCGCATTTGAATTTTCGATCGATGGTTTTTTGGGTGTGGGTGTGGGTTGGGTGTTTGGAGTAGGTCGTGGTTCTGGACGTGAGTGCTGTTCTTTTGTTACCTCACACCCACACCCACACCCACACCCACACCCACACCCACACCCACACCCACACCCACACCCTGGAGCTAGTTGACTTTAAAATCAACTAGGATGGAGCTAGTTGACTTTTCAATTTAAGAGTCAACTACAGTTGACTTTAAAATGTATAATCATAAAGTTGCTATGCACTAATCAATAATGAATTTGTTTAACTCATGGAAACTTTTCGATCTGAAGTTAACAAAGAATTATTTATTAACTATCAAACCATCATTTCATTTAATAATGAAGGCAGCTTTCTACTCAAAGCTAGATGCTTATTTAAATGAGTTGGATACTAAACGACAAGCGAAGTACTTGATAACAGCTGAAACATATGAAAAAATTGTACAAGTACTCTCGACTGAAACCAAGTACGATCCTCAATTTAATTTTTGGGCAAAAAAACGTTTTACTAGTCTTAAAATTAATGATCAACCCGTGGTGTATTCAGCAAAAGAAAAATTGCCAATTGTAAAATATGAGAATCTATTTGAAACTCTCAATGAATGTCATTTATCTGTCGGGCACCTGGGTAGAGATAAAACCTGGCATGAAGTAAGCTATCGTCAGGTTGTTTAGTGTTTCTAAACTTATTTTCGCAATTTAGGTTAAACGCCGATATGCTCAGATACCACTTGAATTAGTGAAGTTGTTTCTTAGTTTATGTGATCAATGTGCATCAAGAAAAACCTTTCCTAAACCTGTTGTTGGGAAGCCAATAGTATCTGTAGGCTTTATGACTCGAATACAGATGGATTTAATTGATATGAGGAGCAATGAATTTAATGGTTTTAAGTGGATATTTCATGCAAAGGATCACTTTTCTAAATATTCGTGGTTGTTTCCGTTGGCATCCAAAGAAGCTATTAATGTAGCTAATATATTACAGTCAATCTTCTATCAATTTGGTCCACCGAAAATACTACAGTCCGACAATGGTCGCGAGTTTGTCGCAAAGGTGATAACAGATTTAACGAAAACTTGGTCAGGTTTGGTGATAGTTAATGGGCGACCAAGACACCCTCAGTTCCAGGGTTTAGTGGAAAGGAGCAATTCTGTTGTTCAACAACTTCTTGGTAAATGGTTAAGTACGAGCAATTCGTCTGATTGGCCCTCTGGACTGGGACCGGTGATGCTAGCCATTAACACTAGCATAGCAAAAAGTATTAACAAGACTCCTTTTGAAGTTGTTTTCGGGCAGCATCCACGTACAGATGATGATATTTGGAAATCTATTGTTAATCATCAACAACAAGATGATACAAATAAAATTATTTTAGACGAAGATTTACCCGATGATATTGCAAAGATAGTTAAAGAAACGGATTATGCTGATTCTGAATTAATTTCTGATCAAGATGATAATGATAATGAACGATTAAAGACAAATGAAAAAATGACAACTGCTGAATATCAAAAGGAAGATCATGTTAGTGATGATGAACAGCAAGAAACTATTGTTGATCACGAAGAATGCATTGATGGAACTGAATCGACAGTTAATGATGGTAGTTTAAATATTAACTTGATATCTAATGGTCGCCATCGGCGAGTTCGAGAAGAAGCTGAACAAGCATACCTTAAAAATGCACAATCACAATTAGTTAAATATAAAATAAATTCAGCTAAACGACAACGAACGTATGTTATTGGTGATATTGTCGGTTTAAAGGTTTCAGATGTCGATCGTACAAACACTTCATCCACGATTTTACCATGTAAAATAATTGAAAAATATTTCCAAAATAATGAAATGCTATACATGGTTGCTACTCAAAATGGTATCATCAAAGAACGTTTTAATCCAATGGCATTTTTAGATCTTACCACAGCCAATTTTGCATCACTACGTGCTATTGATACTGATCAATTACCAACAATTACTTTTATTCAAGCAAGTCAACTTTATACAAATTTCAAATCAATAGAAACTTGTAAATGTGCTGGTAATTGTAATACAAATAGGTGTTACTGTAAGAAAAATAATCGAAAATGCTGTACAAAATGTCGCAGCGATAAATATTCAGTATGTAAGAATTGCTAGATGTTCTTTTGTATCTATTAATAA